CTTCACACAGGCCAGTCTCTCAGCTCGGACCCTGAAGATTCACCAATTCTCACTCATTTCAGTCTGACAGCAGCTCCAGCAGGCTCGCGTGCATGTCTGTCCTGTCTTCCTGTTATGGGGGAAAAGGCACAGCAACATGTCCTCTTGGCTCTGCTCATGGTTTGGGTCCCTCAGATGTGAGGCACAGACCCTAGCAGTTGGCCTATCCTAGTCTTACTCCTCCCTCGACTGCCACCAATAAAGATCAGCTTGCCTGGAAACAGTGAAGCTTATCCAGGTGCAAGGATGTGTGGGAACTGAATTCCAGTAGCCTGTTGATCCTCTTTTGCAATGGTGGTGCTGTGCTCCTTTTAGTAACTACAGTTCCCATCTTTCATAGTGCCTGCACATTGAGTCATTTTTGAGGCTCTCATTGGCTCTCTTCTGCACTGATAGGATTCAAAACTGCACTGCCAGGAAGGGGGGGAGAGCAGAGCGCGAGTAGAGAATTACACAGATCCACTCAGCAAAAGCAGTAATAGCAGAGTGATGTTGGCTGCAGACATAAGGCAGCCCAGATCTCACACAATATACCAGTGGGGAAAAGGCAGGGGATTTCATACAGCTGGCAGCAGCAGCAACATCTGGCTACACTCTGTTCTGACATGGCCTGCTTTCCAACTTGTCTTGGCTGTCACATTAGTCTGTCTGACCCTTGCTGACCTAAGGCCATTAGAAGGGAACTGACCATAAAATATTTGGAGCTCATACATGCAGCTTTGAACTACAGTGTAGAGGAGTTGCCCTAACATTTTATACTCCGAATATGTGTATGTTGGTCTGTTTATTTTGTATGTAAAAGTGCTTTGATGTATTGTTTCCTTGCTGTGAAATATCTGGTCATCCTGTCAGTCCCCCTGCTTTCCTATTTCAAACTGACCACATTAAGCATTGAAGCACATCCTTCCCAGCATGGTCAGTTTTCTGGCTGCTCAGTGCTGCTCCCTGTTCAGCTGTTCCTTGCCTGTGTAGTAGAAGAGGTAGATGCTGTGGTGGATCTTTGTGGTCAGTGCACTGATCTATGCTTTTTCCTTTCTTGAAGTATTCCTCAGTTGCTTTTGCAGATCTTGGCTAGAGGGCAGTCAAGTGATACTAATAGTTTTGGACTTGCTAGGCTGATGTGATACTCCAGCCTAATCAAACTCCTGGAGAACACTCCATGGTTTCTTCAAGATTGTCCTGGTCTTCTATCCACTGCTCTGTCCAGTTTGCAGCCCATCATTAGACACTGGCTTTTAGGTTTCGTTCACACCTATGCAGTTTGCTTTTTGTCTTTTTTTCAGTAGAATATTTTTTGTTGCTGGACCAAATATAAAAATGCAAAACGCAAAAATGTATGACCATGCATTTCAGCAGATTCTCCATCGAAATCTATTGTAGCAAAAATCTTCTGTTTTGCTTTTAAAGTCGCTGACCCTTTCCAAAAACGCAGCAGCTCAAAAAAAGCATAGATGTGAACATGTTCCATAGGAAACTATGTTAAATGGACTGCAAAAAGCACTAAATGCATTGGTGTGAATGGAGCCTTAAAGTATAAGTTCACTTTTGGGAGCCTGTTACATGTTCCACCCGTTTCTTAGGGTGGAACATATAACATGTTCCCACTGCTTCAGCCTCTGCCCATTGTCCTCTCTCCCCTCTAGCTGTCACTTTTTTGAAGCAGCTCGTCGGGTTGTAGTTCTCAATGCAGTTAATTGATTCTTCCTGTCACAATGTATCTGCTTACCCATACGAGGTGCGAGCACACAGATAAACTGACAGGTTTGCAGGAGTCCTGCACGGCACCAGCAATCTGATGGTGCAGTTCTTTCCAGGCTCAAAAAAGTACATTTTTGTACCTGTAAAAGCTGTGGGGGTTTTTTCTTTTTTTGGGGGGGTTCTTTGGGTGTTTTTTTTTTTTTGGGGGGGGGGTTTGTGGGTTTTTTTTTTTTTTAAATGAACATATCCTTTTAAAGGCTTTCCTGTCAAAGCCTAGGTTCCGAGACAGGAGTCATACCTGAAATGGTGATCCCCCACAATGCTAAAAGCTAGGACGTGCTTTCACACAAAGTGTACCATCATAAATGGAAAGCGTGCTTTGCACAAAGCAAAACAACTTGTGTTCAGTAAATTCTCAGTGGAACGAATCCTGGCCTTTTTGAAAATGTGCCTCAATCAGCATTTGGCTCTTGGTACGATCAGGAGTCCAGTTTCAGTGTTGACCATCTTGTTCAAAGACTGCTGGCTTCCTATTGAACACCTTTGTACAGGGTGGCTCCTCCATGAATGGGATTTAACTGTTATTCTCTTGGCACTTCAGAAACTTGCCTTTTGAACTTATTGGGAGTATTTCCACTCACAAGGTTGCATTTCTTGTTGCCATCACCTCTTCCAAGGTGAGTGGCTGAGATGGCCAGGCTCTCATGTAAAGTAGCCTTTTTGGTCTTTCTCAATACAGTGAGGCCCAGAACTTCCTAATGTAGTTTTCATATTTCACCTCAACCAGGACATCCTTCAATCTGTTGTTTGGCTCCAGTCTATATTTACTCCACAGCCACTATTTCTATTAAGGACTCTTCATTGCTGATCTTCCCATAAGGGCGAAACGGCTTTTTTTTTTTCCCCCTTTTCTCAGACAATCATTTTGTCTAATTGCCTTATGGATTGAGTTCCCTTTTTCTGTCAAGGTGATTCCTACTAGACCTGTGAGTGCTTCTTCATCTTTATGGCATCAAGCAATGGTTTCCTTGACTTGAAAGGCTTCCATGTGGTTGTCTGTGTGACATGTTCCCAGTTGGACTTCTGTTTGCATCGCAACTATATCAGAATTCCTGTGTCCCTCACAAAACCAGAGACAAAGGAATTTTTGTATTTTTTTTTTTTGTATTTATTTTTGCCTGACCTATTCCTACTAATGTTTCTATTTTATCATACTGAGTACTGTTTGTCGCCGGCCCACAACATTTCCAGGCTGCATCTGGTGTGGGCACAGCACCTTATTCATTTGAGTGATCTGCAGTACCTGTGGGAAATACAGGGAAAAGGTTATTGCACCTTTCCTAAAACTGTAGCTGCGTGAGAAAACATGCTGTGGTTTCTGACTCATAGGGGTTCCATTAAGAACTAATGCCCCCCCCCACACACTTGCTAAACGGGTAGCATGTATTTTGGTGCAAGAACACATGCCATTTACAGTCCTGCACCTGCATAGATATGAACCTAACCTTAATCTGGCTGTCCTCCATAGTATTGTCTTTCTGCCACAAGATGTTGCCAGTCTTCTAGGTTGAATCATGGCCAGCATAAGGCAACTTCTGAGCGTACATTGGTGTAGTACTACTACACTGAATGTCGCTCATGTTACATGTGTTGCTGAGTCGTAAGGCATTGATGGCATAATACTGACCTAACTAGTGAACTGCTATCACTTACAAGAGTTACGACCTTCAGTAGAATCGTCATGCTCAACATCTGACATGTCCGTTCCTAAAGGTTCTGCTAGCGGCCTATCATTGCATGAGGTATATGCCACTCACTGGAGAGGCAAGTCCTCATTTGCCGATTTAAAGTTTCAAAATTTTCCTGTGCTGCAGCTGTTACGCCTCCTATTGGACATACGTATATCTAATATATATAGACGTATATCTTCCTCCCTCCTTCCCTCCCGCCCTCCATTTGAAAGAACCATGTACCCAGACACCTGAATGTGTGCTATACTACAAATACAGTTTTTTTTTTTTGTTTTGTTTTGTTTTGTTTTGTTTTGTTTTTTTTTTTTTGTTTGTTTTTTTTTTTGAGGCACCAAACAAATGTATACAAATCTTCATTATTTATGGACTCTGTTAAAAACACTGCTTATTGTCGTACAAAGTCTTCAGAATCCTAAACCTATATATTCTCTTTCCGAGAACTCCAAACTGTTCAAAGAGTAGAGTAATATGTCTTACCGGGTTAGGGTAAAGTTAGTTGGCACGGAGTTTGTTGGTTAAGCCCCTGGTGAGGACAGTCTGATAATCCCACAAAACCGCATGTTGTAGTTATGGAATGGAACATCTTTCCCCTAATCCCAGTAGTAAGTCTTATATTACTATAGTCTGGAGTTCTCAGCAAGTAAATATATATTTAAGATCCTGGAGGCCTTTTCTTTTCGAATAAGATTGGACATGCCCATACGTAATTTTCAGTGACCTAATCCTTATATGGTGGCTTCCCATTCTCTTACATACTAGCAGTTTCTCTAATTTTATTGGTGGGCAAACCTTTAGTAAATTTATTTAGCATGTAGGCAGGTGCAGTCACCAATGTAGGTGGTACTACAACCTGGAGAGTAAGTCAAGAGAAACATGGTTTCTCTATGGTACCCTGGGTTAATGGAGCAGCAATCCGGTTGGCTATGCTGCAGTCATTTAACCCTTTTCAGCAGTCTTGGGTCAACGGGGTCTTTAGAAGCTCCTGCCCCTGGGTGTTGGCATGCATTTTGCAAGTGGCTAGTGTGGGAGAAACCCCCCAATTAGGGAAAGCAACTAGTGGCATGGCAAGGTTCCAGATGAGTAGGGAAAGGCTAGGGACTTCCTACCATGCAAGGAAGCAAACTGACTAGGCCACATTTCACTTTCTGAGACAGACCATCGGCACTCCCACCCCCACCCTTGGGGAAACTCCATAGGACCCTTTGTACTCAAACAGTCCAAACTGTTCCCATTCTTCGCGATACGATCACTCTGGCATTTGATGGTCTTGTATAACCACTGTGATCTAACTGGTGTTTGCAGCCCATTCAAAATGGGCCCTAATGGTTCTTATGTGGTTCATTCAATGTGTAATATACAGGGGTGTCAAGAACTTAATATGATATGGTAAAGTGTCCAGCTTATGAGTACTGATGGTATTTAGAATGGCTGTATTGCCGACAGAGGCTTTAGGATTTTTCTCCTATCACCCGTTCAGGATGGATTTACCCATGTTGCTTATCTTTGTTTTAGGCTAGAGCATCAGCTGTCGCCTCATATGCTGCCACAGAGCCACGAGCAACAACTGCCTGCCTCTCAGACTCTCTCCTTCCAGAACCATGGATGCTGATAAGCAACACTGCTGCCATGGAAGATTTATTTGGGTAGTTATATTTTAAATGAAAAATGTGCATTTGAGTTGGCATACACATGTCAAAAAATCCTGTTGGACATTACTTTCGCAAAGGCTACATGATTAGTATGAAGTTGTTTCATTCCTACCAGTCACATCTGAAAGTGAAAGCTAAGCTAAATTCTGTGTGCAGGTGAGCTTTGCCATAATGGGACGGCACATTTTTGGCGCGCTTGCCTGTCAGTGTGCCCTCCAGCAATGACGGTCAGGGCTGCAATTGTGTTCTGATACTGCCACCATTATCCTCTTGCCATTCCTTTAAAGGATAAGGTCACCTTTAAAAAAATAAACTTTTTACAGGTTTTTTTATTTTTTACTTGAAGCCTACAAAGCATTGCTGTGGATTGCAGGTGCCAGGCAGGACTCCTGCAGACTTATCTGTGTATTTGTGTGCTCATACGGGCAAGCAGATGCACACTGACAGGAAGTATCCATGAACTACTACAGTGCTCAACAGCACTGTAGTAGTTAACTGAGAACCAGGGGCGGACTGAGAACTCATGGGGCCCCCGGGCAATAGGGGATCATGGGGCCCCTGTGTCCTTGCCCAAATGCAAAAAAGCCTATGAAAAAGGTACCAGGGGCATCTCATGGGGCCCCCTACAGACCCCGGGCAGTGCCAGTTTCCAAATGGTCAGTCCGCCCCTGTTGAGAACTACAAGCTGAGAACCGCAAAGGATTCCTATTCACAGAATTCTGTGAATGAATGATGCAGCCCGGTGGGTTTTATAAAAATAGTGACAGGTAGCGGGAGAAGATCCCCCACTAGTTGTCACTAGATGCAGCAGAGCAGGCAGTGGCTCTGGGAGTGGGAACATGTTACATTTTTTCCAAAGGTGAACTTATTAACTGATCAATGTGAAAGGGCCCATAAGCTGCAGAAAAGTGCATCAAAAACTCATCAGTGTGAAAGCAGTCTTGGGTCCGACAGTGTCTCTCTTCAGGCACTGACACATGAACACAACTTGCATCATCCCCAGTACCCAACTCCATTGCAAAATGGAGCAGTCTGGAATATACAGGTGAAACTTGAAAAATTAGAATTTCGTGCAAAAGTTCATTTATTTCAGTAATGCAACTTAAAAGGTGAAACTAATATGAGAGACTCATTACATGCAAAGCAAGATAGTTCAAGCCGTGATTTTTCATAATTGTGGTGATTATGGCTTACAGCTCATGAAGACCCCAAATCCACAATCTCAAAAAATTAGAATATTGTGAAAGGTGCAATATTCTAGGCTCAAAGTGTCCCATTCCAATCAGCTAATTAAGCCATAACACCTGCAAAGGGTTCCTGAGCCTTTTAAATGGTCTCTCAGTCTGGTTCAGTAGGAATCACAATCATGGGAAAGACTGCTGACCTGACAGTTGTGCAGAAAACCATCATTGACCCCCTCCATAAGGAGGGAAAGCCTCAAAAGGTAATTGCAAAAGAAGTTGGATGTTTCCAAAGTGCTGTATCAAAGCACATTAATGGGAAGTTATGTGAAAGGGAAAAGTGTGGAAGAAAAAGGTGCACAAGCAGCAGGGATGACCGCAGCCTGGAGAGGATTGTCAGGAAAAGGCCATTCAAAAGTGTTGGACTCTTACAAGGAGTGGACTGAGGCTGGAGTCAGTGCATCAAGAGCCACCACACACAGACGGATCCTGGACATGGGCTTGAAATGTCGTATTCCTCTTGTCAAGCCGCTCCTGAACAACATACGTCAGAAGCGTCTTACCTGGGCTAAAGAAAAACAGATCTGGTTTGTTGCTCAGTGGTCCAAAGTCCTTTTTTCTGATAGCAACTTTTGCATCTCATTTGGAAACAAAGGACCCAGAGTATGGAGCAAGAATGTAGAGGCACACACTGCAAGATGCTTGAAGTCCAGTGTGAAGTTTCCACAGTCTGTGTTGATTGGGGGAGCCGTATCATCTGCTGGTGTTAGTCCACTGTGCTTCATTAAGTCCAGGGTCAACGCAGCCGTCTACCAGGAGATTTTGGAGCATTTCATGCTTCCTTCCACAGACTAGCTTTATGTGGATGCTGACTTCATTTTCCAGCAGGACCTGGCACCTGCCCACACTGCCAAAAGCACCAAAACCTGGTTCAATGACCGTGGGATTACTGTGCTTGATTGGCCAGCAAACTCGCCTGACCTGAACTCCATAGAAAATCTATGGGGCATTGCCAAGAGAAAGATGAGACATGAGACCGAACAATGCAGAAGAGCTGAAGGCCACTATTGAAGCATCCTGGTCTTCCATAACACCTCAGCAGTGCCACAGGCTGATGGCTTCCATGCCACGCCGCATCGAGGCAGTAATTGCTGCAAAAGGGGCCCAAAGCAAGTACTGAGTACATATGCATGCTTATACTTTTCAGAGGTCCAATATTATTCTATGTACAATCCTTGTTTTATTGATTGCATGTAATCTAATTTTCTGAGATTGTGGCTTTGGGGTTTTCATGAGCTGTAAACCATAATCATCACAATTATGACAAATCACGGCTTGAACTATCTTGCTTTAAATGTAATGAGTATCTCCTATATTAGTTTCACCTTTTAAGTTACATTACTGAAATAAATGAACTTTTGCATGATATTCTAATTTTTCAAGTTTCACCTTTATTGTGTAGCACAGTATACAAAGGAACCACTTCCTTAAAACCCTTAGTGGTTCTAAAGCCTAAACTCTTTTGGTTTAAAAAAAAAAAAAAAGGTGCTGGTTTTGAAAAAAATAAACCTATATAAACCTATATTCCCTCACCTAGGTAAATGCAGCATTGGTCCCCCACCACCTCTGAGACCAAAACCAGAGCGATCATAGATTGCTGATCACCCAGTTCTCAGTGAGCAGACAGCTGCTGACAGTCAGTCACTGGCTCTCTGCTCTACCCCCTCCATTGCGCAGTGAGGCTCTGGGCTGTGGATTGAGCATGAGCAGCTGCCTCAGGGTCTAAGCAGCACCAGCCAGGTATCTGGACAGATTACAACTTTAATGTCAGGATTCACCCAGAGTCTGGACCGTCAGAATGACGTCCGTGGACTTTAGTCTGTTGAATACAGATCACAGGAGTGCAGAATGAAGCACCTTTCATTCTAGTAAGCTATAGTACATGCTGTTAGAATAGAGGAGGGCTGAAAGGGCAAGCATAGTCTGCACTCTCAACTAGTGCATGTGACAGGTTTAGTGCCAGCAAAAGGGACACTTCTCATTGAATGTAAGCGCTTGAAAAAGAAATGAACTTGGACTTTAAAGGATAAGTTCACACATCTTTTTGCAGGTAAAAAATTAACATTTTATTTTTGGAGCCTAGAAAGCATTTCATCCACTAACAGCCGACCATGCGTGCCATGCAGGACTCCTGCAGACTTCTTGGCTTATCTATGTGCTCATACCTCGTACGTGCAAGCAGATACACACTGATGGGAAGAGACCATAAACTACCACGGTGCTAAACAGTGTCATGATAGTTCATTGAGAACTACAAGCTGTCAGCCACAAAGGCTGTCAGGACTTGTAGTTTTCAATTCACAGAATTCTGTAACTGAAGAACACGGCCAGGTGGGCGGAGTAGGCTGCGGCTCTTGGAGTGGGAACATGTTACAACCAAAAAACAGGTGCAACATGTTCCCAAAGGTGAACGTTCTCTAAGACTGCACCAGACATGCAACACTGTACTTTCAACACCTTCAGTGCATACTCACATTTGGGTTTTCTTATTTACCAAATGCAGTCAACAGGTGAAGCTCTTTAAAGTCCTGTCTTCTGAAGAGCCATCCTTTTGTAATCCTACATAGCAGGAGACGGCTAATTCTCAGACCATTGGGTTATCTTCCACCTCCAGGTGACTGGACACTGGCAAATGGAAAGCTTGATCCAGCCCTGCAACATGTGGGTTGAATGGCCACCTCTCCCCTCTTAGTCTGGTGCCGTTAGTAGTGCACCCAATGGTCATTGCACAGTTGACACCAAGGGGTCTAGAAGCAGGGGAAAGGGAAACCCATTCTTGTTGGAAACTGTTTTCCTTCCATGAACTCATTTCTGGTGCAAAATTCTGGCTCTGAATTGACATCCAGGTTTTCACTCAATAGGTGGTCACTTCCTCAAGTACCTATGTCAAGGAGGAATTTGCAGCTGCATTTTCCACTGTGCTACTGCAATTGGCATATGCCCATTAGGATTTATTGCAGGATGAGAAACATTCCACAGGAGTTATCTTGAGTCTTGACCTCTCACCTGGGCCTAATGTAGGTCAACATGAGGCAAGTGCTGTGGCTGAAATGCTGGTCAGCAGAGTGTCAGCTGGAACATGTTCCCTTGGAGGGTGAATACCTTTGTCAATTCCCTAGATACACTATATTGCCAAAAGTATTGGGACATTCCTCGAAATGGATTCAGGTGTTTTAATCCCCTTTATGGCCACAAGTGTAAAAACTCAAGCACCTAGGCATGCAGACTGCTTCTACAAACATTTGTGAAAGAATGGGTTGCTCTCAGGAGCTCAGTGAATTCAAGCGTGGTACCGTGATAGGTTGCCACCTGTGCAATAAATCCATCCATGAAATTTCCTTGCTACTAAATATTCCACGGTCAACTGTTGGTGGCATTATAACAAAGTGGAAGCAACTGGGAACAGCAACTCAGCCACGAAGTGGTAGGCCACGTAAAATGAGAGAGCGGAGTCGGTGCATGCTGAAGCACACAGAGTGCAGAAGTCGCCAACTGTCTGCAGAGCCAATAGCTAAAGACCTCCAAACTTTGTGTGGCCTTCAGCTTAGCACAACAGTGCCTAGATGGCTTCATGGAATGGGTTTTCGTGGCCGAGCAGCTGCATCCATGCCTTACATCCCCAAGTGCAATGTAAAGTGTCAGTTAGTGACAAAGTACACTGGCACTGAACTCTAGAGCAGTGGAGACATGTTCTCCAGAGTGACGAATAGTGCTTCCCTATCTGGCAATCCAATGGACATGTCTAGGTTTGGTGGTTGCCTGACTGCATTGTGCCAAGTGTAAAGTTTGGAGGGGGGATTATGGTGTGGAGTGGTTTTTCAGGGGTTGGGCTTGGCCCCTTAGTTCAAGTGAAGGGAACTCTTAAGACGTCAGTATACCAAGACATTGTGGACCATTTCATGCTCCCTACTTGTGGGAACAGTTTGGTGATGACCCCTTCCTGTTCCAACATGACTGCGTACCAGTGCACAAAGCAAGGTCTATAAAGACATGGATAAGTGAGTTTGGGGTGGAGGAGCTTGACTGGCCTGCACAGAGTGCTGATCTCAACCCAATAAAACACCTTATGGATGAATAGGAGTGGAGACTTCGGGCCAAGCTTTCTCGTCTGACATCAGTGCCTGACCTCACAAATGCACTTCTGGAAGAATGGTCAAACATTCCCATAGACACACTCCTAAACCCTGTGGACAGCCTTCTCAGAAGAGTTAAAGCTGTTACAGCTGCAAAGGGTGAGCCAACTCAATATTGAACCCTACGGACTAAGATTGGGATGCCATTAAAGTTCTTGTGCATGAGAAGGCAGGCATCCCAATACTTTTGGCAACATAGTGTATATTGCAAAGGCAGTACCAAGAATCGGCTCACACTCAGAAGAGAAGCTCATTCTGACTTGGGCAAAGATTCATGTTCTGGTCTGCTCTACACATTCACAGTGTGGAAAATGGACTTAAGCCGCCACTTCTTATGCCAGCCTACTGAACCATAAGCTGAATCTGGTGATCAAATACTGGTATTGGAGGGTTTTGGCCCAACCCACTAATAGGTGCCAATGTGTTTCAGGGGCCATACATCACCCACTTCATCAGAGCTAAAACATGATATAAAATCCTAAAATTCGACTAAAAAGGGCCTGTCTTGTAATGTGTACATATGTAAATATCCATTACAGATACTTGGTGGTTGTGTATAGATAGATCGATCACAGAACACACGCTAGAACTCATTAATATTACTTCTATCAGTTACCTTTTATGACCCTATGATTAAGTGGCCACATTATTTAAAACAAAAATAATGCAACATTGTCAAATAGCTTAGTTATGAAAAAAACCTATATACGGTACAGAACATGATTTCTAATCTTAATAGTCTAAAACTTAAATGGCAATATGTATGCTAAGGCATGGGTTTAAAAAAGCAAAAAAACAGAATTCAGTACTCCCCAAGGTAAGAAGATCTGCACCTATAATTTTTATTTACTCCCTTACACAAGTAAATCTTCCTAAATCACCGTTACAAGCTTTAATTGGATGCCCAGTGGAGGGGGTATAGGGACACACGAGGAGGCTCATTACATTTATTTTTGAAGCCGCTAGGATCTCCATTGCTAGATCTTGGAAATCATCTAATTTTTTTACCTATTGAAATCCAAGTTGTCTTGGAGAATGGTTAATGAACTCCTTTCTGCAGTCTTGCAAGACAGACTGGATTTCTTTGAAAGGATTTGATACCCCTGGATCAAATATCTCTCAGATGCCTAACATGATACAATAGGGTCTGTAATTCCTCTTTTGATCAGGTAGTCTTCTCCCCTTTTTTCTTTTTCTAGAATTCTTTCCTCTTCCTTGTTCTTATTGTATGAAGGATCTGATGAGGCCCTTGGGCCACATGTTAGGAGGTAATATGTGGGATTTCACCCTAGATCCCCCTGTTTTTTGTAATGGGGATGTACCTGGGTCTAAGCCCATATATCCCAGTATAGGGATTAAAACTTTTGGACTGTTTAGCGGAATAATTATAGTAGTTAATCTGTTACCTTTTGACAAATTTGTCGCTGTACACTTCCAAATGCTGAATGTGAAGGCTATTATTCTTGCAAGTGTAATTATCATATTCTATCGTCACATTTCTACTGAATATCTAATAAACCTATTGGAAAAGAGAAAAAAAATTCAGTACAAATGTGTTTACCTTAGATGTGAAATCATCAGGGTGTTGACGCCATTATTTAAACTTGTTCTGGAAGTTGTTAGAGTATGGCTATGAACAATGAATGTTTGGTCTTTTATGAATTGGGTTGGTTTCACATGCATGTGTATCCACAATTTTCAGTTGCCTTACCTGTGGTTTTAGCTAGTCCTGTAGACTTTCTATTAGGTTGCACGTTTTTGAAGTCGTTTCTGAATGCACACCAAATATGTGGCATGCATCTCATTTCCAGAAACTGCGACCTAAAAGTCAATGTGCCCGTGACGAAAACCATGGGTACAGCACATGAAAATTGCTGATACGCCCGTGCTGTGGCCGTGTGCTGATGGAGTAAATTGGTATTTTAATGAAAACTTGGCAACGTTCAGTAGCTGGTTTAAGTTACAGCCAGGCTTGCTGACATGATTGTGTTTTCACACACAGGTTCACAATTTATACATATGCACCACTACTACGAAATGGTTTAATGCATATTTTAGATGTGTGCAAACAAGAGTGAGACCCTTTAGTCTAATTTTGTTTTTAAATCGTGGTGTGACCCCCTGAAAAGCATTGGCTGTTGTAGGTTTGGAATAAAACCACATTTTGGACTCTATACTTAAATGAAGATTAAAGCACCACACTGAAGTATTAAAGTATTACTTTCACAATCTAAGGCTTCTGTGGCAGCTCTTCAGTTCACGGAAGCTGCCCTCACATCACCCAGGGCCCCATAACCGTATAGTTTTGATACTTTATTTAAAAGTACAAAAGCTTGGCACTCGTTTTTCCAAAGACTGGGAGCTGCACACAGGTTTACCTTCATGCGTAAAAAAACCGTCTGCCTTTAGAACCACTTTAATGCACTCTCAGCATTAAGGTAAGAACCGTTCATTGTCTGCTCTTCGCAACTCCTCAAATACTTGCCTGAACCTATTCTCAATCCAACACTTGCCCATCTGCAGCAGAACTGCTCTTCTCTGCCCTCTTCTCACAGATTGCTGGGCCGCAGCAGGAGCATTGGGCTCCTTCTGTCAAATCCTGTGAGCAGAAAGCGGGGTGTGGGGCTCAGCTACACTATCAGTAGATGCAGAGTCTGGCTTGGGATCAAGCCAGTAGGTGTGCCCCCTAGCAAGCACTCAGAAGAAGGTCCTGGTGTGATTGGGTGGGGACACCAGAAGAGGTTCACGGCTGCTTTGTGCAATACCATTCCATAGAGCAGTCGAGTATAACAAGTTAAGTACGTTTCACAATTGAGGGCTGAAGGTGTACATGTATTTTGTGGCTTGAATGCCAGACGTTTCTGTAAGGACTTGGACTGCTCATAAAGCGTCTCAGGTTAACTGGCTATCCCTTTATCTCCAGCTAAGGCTGCTAGAGGAATTGTGTTGAGATTGTTCTCTTGTTTCTGCTTGTTGGAGTATTCTGCACCTTCATCCCTCTCTCCTGTTGATTGCTACAATAAATTCACAAAACACAACCCCTAGACTGAGCTTGTTTGCTGGTGTGCTTGGAACTGGTGTTGTACCTGGCAGCCTATGAACTGGTGAACTGGATTGTTCAGTGACTCCATCCCAGCCGCCTCCACCCTCTTCTAGGGGTAAGCACCAGAGTATTTAAATCTGGACACTGTTGCCTTCCCTGTGTCTGGCTCCAAAATATCCTAGGGAGATTGCTCTTAATTGTTTGGATGTGGTTAGGGCTGTGCAAGTCTTTTGCGGCCAAGGCTCTGAACTGCCAGTCACCGGAAGGCTGCCTGTCAATCTACACTTGTTTGGTGGGTTTGGCAAATCATTACTAAGGAGTGTCAGTGCTTTGTGGACTTTACAGCCTTAGGCCTCAATTTTCCAGGAATGTTAGACAGCTACCTGATCTTCTGCACACATATTGCAACGTTTTATCTGGAAGATGTTCATGCTTCGGTGGACACCACCCATGTGGTGTGACAGCGGGACTCTGTGCTATCCACAGTACACTGCTCGGCCAACTGAATTTTCAATCCATCTATAGCCAGCTTTAGGGTTATAGAAAATTCTTGAAGAAACTTGCATACCATTATCAATGATTTGTTGAACTAAGCCCTTTGCTGATTGTAAAAGCTTATTCCAATGTATGTGTGGAAATTATCATACACAGGAAAAGCACAATACGGTCACATAAGAAACAGAAAACCTCATTATGGGAATATTCAGTTTGAAGCAGGGACGGACTGCCCGGGGTCAGTAGGGGGCCCCATGAGATGCCCCTAGTACTTTTTTTTTTTTTTTTTTTTTTTTTTTTTTTTTTTTTTTTTTTTTTTTCATTGGCTTTTTTGAGTTTGGGCAAGGACACAGGGGCCCCATGATTTGTCAGTCCGCCCCTGGTTTGAAGTTTCAAATGCGTTGTGATCTTCAACCACTGTCTATATTGTGTTGAATCTTTAAAATAGTTCTATATCTCAACCAGGGTGCCATCAAGATCTCGTTTGTTTGGTTCTTCTGGATTTCTGGCAAAGAGAGATTATAATCAGTCAGATGCATCACAGACTACAAGGTACAAATTGCTCTGGTCAACTGCCCTACAACACTTGTTTTTTTTCATGTGTGTTTAGCAAATCTTGTAGGAAAAACTGTATTCTGTATTGACAAGTGACTATAAGACTAATAAAGTGCTGTTAAATATTTCAGGCTGCCTTTTCCTGAACCAGCTTCTCCTGAACGGGGCTGTGCTGTAACAGGGGTTAGTGTTGGTGTTGATACAGAACTGGATTTGTTGGACTTTGATAAGTCAAAGCCCAGGTTTGTATTTCCCATTATGCACAGTTGCTAATATTTTCCTTCAAGCTGTGTGCTTAGTGTTCAGTAAATGTTCAGTAAAAATTTGTAAGATATTCAATCTATATTCAATGAGTTTCACCACCACTCCTAGCATGAAGCAAAGTTCAAATACAAAAATAAAGCTTCTGAAAACCGTTCCAACACCACTTCAACACGTTTCATCCAATGGGACATTTTGAAACACATCAGGGTGGTGCCTGCAAGGAAGTGTCGGTGCTGATTGTTCTACCTCTTTATGTGAGTACACAGTATATTGGCATAATAAAAGTAACAGGTTGCCCTATAGAATTCCTGCTTGTTTATTTTGCCAAAAACACATGCATGGCAGAGAAGTGCTGGTACTATTACAGGATTTATATAGTGCCAACAGTTTGCTCAGCGCTTTACAATATAACGGGAGACAATACAGCAACAATACAGTTCAATACAAGAGGGATAGGAGGGCCCTGCTCCTTGGAGCTTACAATCTAGGAGCCCTGCTGATTTGCCCTATGGTTCCCAAGTGCCTCTGAAACATCTTGCTTCTGTGATGTCCCTTTTTAGTCTGAGCTTTGGGTGGATGATCCCTGATAGTGCTGTTTTGAACCACCTATAATTTGGGGTCTACCCAACATGGTAAGAGGTTGCATGTTTCGGTGGTGGTGAATCGCATAAAGTAACTGCTGCTAATTCAACATGGAGAATATGGTTTATTCGCAGTTGTAGAGTGGTTTTGGAACTCATCTGTATTTTACAAGCTTTTTTTATTTTTCAACTTTGATTCATGCTAGGAGTGGTTGTGGCACCCACTAAATGTATGTTTATGTATTTTGTAATGTTTTTATTGCACTATTGAAATAGTGGTGAGACCCATTGGCTAATATACTGCTGTAATAGCCTTATTCAGGGCATTATACCAACCGTTGTGATACTCGCATAGATTTTTTTTTTTTTATTTTAAAGACACAACACACTTTGTTATGCACTAGTATTTAGGAGTGACTGAGTGCAGCTGTGGAAAGTATTTACTGATTTATATTTCTTGTGCTTTTTTAAGCGCTTAGTGCAGGTTTTTTGTTGATATTTAATCTGCACTGGCAAACTTTGCAGCCTGTAAGGGGCACAAATTGTAAAGCCCTTTTTATCTCTAGTTATCTTCCAGGACTGCACACCTGAAAGATGACTAGCTCCACCTGACAGAAAACACAATCAACAATTGATAGTTTAAATTCCCCACCCTTACCTCCACTCCTCAGTTTGATTGTTTCCCTGGCAGCGAAAAGTTTGTTTTGTGGACATAAGGCCTGGGGCTGGAGGTCCCCCCTGGGGGGTAAACAGCTGAGCCAGGGAGGGCAGGCTGTAACTTGCCCAATCAGAGTCCAACTTGTGCAGGGGAGGTGTACCTGGTGTTCCAGGGATGGGCGTCCTTCCTCCCTCTTCCAGGGCAGCGGAGAGGCATGTCAAGAGAGGACTGGGCCACGAGGCGGCTTCTCCTGGGTATCAGTACTACCGGCCAGCATGTAGAGTCACGCAGCGCCCCTGTAGGGTGAGCGGGATGGCCACGGAGTCCGCTACTGGTTCCTTCAGTAAAAAGCCCAGGGTGAAAGTACAAGGATGCCCTTACTATCAATTTGAATGTGGCCAAGGCTTGCATCCCAGCTGTGGATGTGGAAGCAGGCACAACCCCAAACTAGGCCACTGGGGTATTCCAAAGTCAAGGATATTCTCCATATGGAAGAATATCACAACACTGAGGAAGCCTTCAGAGAAAGATGGAGACACATTACCTGTACCGATAAATATTTGCAGGTCATGTCACAAGCTGACCTTGACCTACCTTAAAGCACCTCAAGGGGGGGGGGCTTAAACGTCTGTCCTCTAAGACATGGATCCGAAGACATCCCAAGAGAGTGACTTGCCTTTCCCTGCCCCCCCATTTTTTTTTTTTTTTTTTTTCTTTTCTCCGGTTTCTCTCATTTTTCTCCCTCTCTCCTTCCATACTCCCTGCTACCCTTATTTTCTTAGTTACTTAGATCATATCAGCTGTCTTGCCATAGTAGGTATCAATTGTTATGACTCTATGCAGTCTGTATCGACCACAAATTCAGGCAGCTTTATATGGCTAAGCTCTAATTAGAACAGCATGTTAAAATGTTTCTCTTCTCATATAACTTGGAACATCTAAATGAAGTACGTGTTTTATGACTCAATGTGCTGCAATCTTCCTGTTCGCTTACGTTTGACGAATGTTTGAAATGTGATGTAGTTATCAAGTCTATACCTCTGTATTCTACATTGATATTTACATTATCCTTTGTAAAGTATTCATAAATTTAAAAAAATAAAAAAATCTTGGCCTACTTAGCCATCACAACGGCAAGAAAGATGGGTGACTTTCAGAGCCTGTCTATCAAGGGACCCTTTCTGGTGGAATTAGAGGACAGGGTAGTACTTAGACAGGACCCTCTTTATTTAGCCAAAGTGGCCTCAAGGTTTCATAGGACAACAATCCCATACTGGAAGGGTACAAACTGTAAGGTAGGATGGTGGGATGGAGGATGTAAGAAGATTATGGGGATTCTGAACAACCGATCAGAGTTGTTATAATTATCACTTGGTTAATTCTGTACATGTTGGTCTTTAGTATTCCTATTTTTTTTATGTACTTGCTCTAGCAGTTCCCACAAATTACAGCATTCTTATAGGTTGGAGACGGACGAAGCTGTTCTACAGAGGCGGCAAAAGCAACTAGACTATGGCAAGAACACAGTTGGCTACAGAAGATATCGTCAACAGGTACCCAAGTAAGCCCAATGTAATGCACTTGTGTTTTTCTGTGGGGTTTTTTTTTTTTTTTCTTCCATTGCCCTTTCCTTTTTTTTCCTTTTTTCCTGTTTTTGCGCATCTAGTGCTTCTGGTATACATTTTAGATAGGTGAAGACCCATCAGTTTGCACTCTACAGCAGAAGTTTATGTATCTTTGTAGTGATGTTCACCAAAACAGATGTGGTAAGCAGTCCTAGCTCTTTGCATCATAGATTAAAAAAAAAAAAAACTGTATTAGAACAGCTTGCCAATGCTACCTGGCATAAAGGAGGTCATAACTTCAATGATACACATATGGACTTAGTACTTGATGTGTAGCAGACACTACCATGCCTGCTACATTTTAGCATATATACAGTAATACATACTAAAACAAGCAAGGTCTTGATGGGGGGGGGGGGGGGGGGGGGGGTAGTATTATGAGCACACTGTAACTGTATGCTTCAAATATGTGATTTGTCAAAGACTTGTCTTTGTAATGTACAGCGCTGAGCAAACTATTGGCGCTTTATAAATACTGTATAATATAATAATTAGAAACTCCCATGCAGCATCTTGGACATCCAGCATGCAATAAAAGTACCCCATTAGTGATGAATTGTGTCTTAACAGGAATTCCATGCAACAGACTGTCTTTCACGTTCTGTGCAGGCTTTTTAATGCTTAACTATTATACAGGATTTATTTAGCACCAGCGCTTTACAATATAAAGGGAGACCATACAGCTACGATACAGTTCAATACAAGAGGGTTAGGAGGGCCTGCTCCTTGGCGCTTACAATCTGGAGGGGCTGGTGGTACAAAACGTAATAACTGTGGGGGATGGACTGATAGAAGGAATAGATTCCGTTATTAGCTAGAGGCAGGATAGGCTTCCCTGAAGAGGTTTTCAGAGATCACCTAAAAAATGGCAGAGTAGGTGATAGTTGGATAGATTTGGGTAGAGGGTTCCAGAGGATGGGGGGGTAGGCTCTGGAGATGAGCATGGGAGGAGGAGGAGACAAGGGAGCTAGAGAGCAGGAGGTCCTGCGAGGAGAGGATGGTTTGGGTGATATTTGGAGATGAGATTGGTGATTTAATTTGGGGCAGAGTTATAAATGGCTTTATATGTTAAGGTTTTGAATGCTATTTGTTGGGCAATGGGAAACCAGTGGAGGGATTGGCAAAGAGGGGTGGCAGATATGGAACGGTTAGTAAGGTGGATGAGTCTGGCAGCAGCATTCATGATAGACTGAACAGAGGATAGTCTGCGATTAGGTAGGCCAATGAGGGAGTTACAATATTCAAGGCGAGAGATAACAAGGGAGTGGAATAAGTTGCTTACTGGTTTCAGAGGTTAAGAATGAGCATATCTTGGAGATGTTGTGGAGGTGAAGTCTACAAGATTTGGACAGTGATTGGATTTGGGGCTGAAATGGACAGATGGGAGTCTGGGATTACACCTAGTACCCTGGCATGAGGGGAGGGACTGATGGATGTATTATTGATCTTGATGGAGAATTCAGGGGAGGGGGCATGGGCTGAAGGAAATGGTATGAGCTCCATTTTTTTTAAAGATTTAGTTTGAGGAAGTGGAGTGACATCCATGCTGATATGTCACTTAGGTTAGCAATGCGAGAGGAGACTAAAGGGATGAGGAGTAGAAAGATAGATTTGTGTTATCAGCATAGAGATGGTACTTAAAGCCATGGGAGTTTATCAAGTGACCAAGGGAGGAGATGTAGATGGAGGAGTCCAAGGAGAGAACTTTGACGGACCCCTACAGAAAGGAAGTGGAGAGGAGGAGACAATTAGAGGTAGGAGGAGAACCAGGAGAGAGCAGAGTCTGAGGCCAAGAATGGAGTTTTTTTGAGGAAGGGATGGTCAACAGTATCAAAAGCCGCAGAAAGGTCAAGTAGTAAATGTATGAAGTAGTGGCCATTGGTTTTAGCAGTTAGTAAATTAGTTTTAGTAGGGCAGTTTCAATTGAGTGTAGTGAGCGAAAGTCAAACTGTAAAGGGTAAAGAAGGTTGTGGTCAGTCTACAATCGCCTGAGCTCCTACCTCACTAAGTGTCCTAAGAGTTTAGAGGTAAAGGGGAGAGAATGAAGATATGAAAGAGCATAGGACAGAAGAGGGTGACGTAGTAGTTGAGAGGGGACAGAATCCAGGGGGCACATGGTGAGACGGGCTTCTGATCAAACTTTAGTGACCTCTTCAGCAGTAGTAAGGTCAAAAGAGGAATGTGTTGAGGGAGGTTTAGTATAAGGTATGCTAAGTGGGATAGATGTCTGTATAGCAGAGATGCCCCCACAAATTGCATCAATCTTGTTTTTTAAATGATTTCCATTCTCGTAAGCCGTGAGTGAGTTACTGGGTGGAGGTGGAGAAAGTAGAGTGTTAGAAGAGGATGAGGACTGGATGACAAGGTATTAATAAGAGTGACAAAGTAGGCTTGTTTGGCAGCATGGAGGGAAGAAGGGAAGAATTGTATCTTAAGAAAGCAGATTTATATAGGGTGAATGCTTGCAGAGATTTGGTTTTATGCCACAATCGCTCCAGTGCATGACTGTCGCTTAAGATTTCTGGTGTCGGTCTGCCACGGTTGTAATGGTCGGGGCCTGATGCTTTGTATAAGAGGAGCAAGTGAGTCTAGTGTGGATGAAAGCGAACTGTTGTAGACAGCAGTGGTCAGGGCAGGACAAGGAGAGATTCTGTCATAGAGTTGGTCAGTTGCAGAGTGAAAAGGAGCAGGGTTTAAGTTGTGAAGGTTTCTGCGGGTAATTGCTTGCTGCTTGGAGGGATAAGTGTTTGAAGATGAGGACACTGTGAAGGTGATGAGATTGTGATCAAAGAGGAAAGGGGGTGTTTGTTTGTGGGGTAGTAGGGAGTTCAAAGATGGGAGAAAACCATGGTCTAATGTATTCCCATCAGAGTGAGTGGAGGGACTGTATCCATTATGTTAAGGCAAAAGATGAGGTTAGGTTGAAGAGTTGGGATGTAGCTGGGTTGTTCACATTAATGGGTATGTTAAATCTCTAAAAATGATAGTGGGTAGTTCAGAGGAGAGAGTAGAAAAAGTAGCCAAGCAGAGAAGTAATCAAAGTGCAATACCAGTCCTGGAGACTGGTAGATCACTGCAGTCCTCAGAAATTGGAGAAAACAGCCGAATGCAGTGAGTCTCAAAGAAAAGGATAGGAAGGACTTGAAAGGTGATTAGTGGGGATAGAAGCAAACCAACTCCACCTCCTTTCTGACCACTGGGTCTGGGTGAGTGAGTCCAGAGAAGGCCTCCATAGGAAAGTGCTGCGGGAGAAGCAGAATCTGATGTTTGAAGCCAGTTTTTCTAATTGCTAGTAGCTTAAGGGCGTGTGAGACAAAAAAGGTCATGGACAGAGGTAAGCTTATTACAGAGTGGGCATTCCAGAGTGCACATGAAAAAGGGAGGGTGGTTTTTAGGAACACGGGGATTGAGATTAAGTTGAGTGGATTGCAACTATTCCCAAAGGAAGGAGGGTGGTGCTTGGTGTGGGGGTGAGATACTGGAGGACCAGGGTTTGGGGAGATATCCCCAGAGGTTAGGAGAAGGAGGGTGAGGAAAGTAAAATGGGAGCGGGATGTATGAGTGCACATGCCTTCCTGTCCTGGTGATTGGGTCAGCAGGTGAGTAAAGTATTAGCAGGAGGTGATGAGAGCAGTAGTAGGGAGATGGTAGAAGGGAGGGTGATGTGTATAAGCTTTGGAGTGGAGCAGAGTGGTAAAGCAATGAGATTTTGAGAAGAGGATAGTAACTCTTCACACTTTGTAGAAAAGCTTCACTTGCCTGCTCAGTATTTTATTGCATGTACACGGAGCTGCGCATTCCTGGCACACTCTGTATGCTTGAATGACTGATTCCAGTGTGCATGCACAGGAAGACTCCATCCTCCTACTGGCCAATCAAGAGGCCAGAAACTGAACCCAGGAAAAATCACAGCAGCTGGCAAGAGAATACTGTTGCATCTCTGGAAGGTGAATATTTTAAGTTTAGTTCTGCTTTAGGATGACATTACCTGAAACCTTTAATCGGTTATAAACGGTTTTCCTTAGAATATGGTCACTATGGTTGCAAAGAAAAATAACTTTTTAGCCAGTTATCAATTTATTATTTGTAGTGCTAGACCAGGGGTCTCCACTTTCAAAACAAAGGGCTGGTTTACTGTCCTTCACAGTTTTAGGGGTGCTGGATTGCGTCCTGCGGGAGTAGAGCATGTCCCAGGCCCAACATCCGTGAGTAAACAAGGCCTTAGATTTGGTGTTCAGTTGCATAGTGATGGTGGTCAGGAGGAACAGTACACAGTCATTGGTGGAAGGAATAGTTGCCCAGTTATTGTCAGTGGGAGGAATAATGCACCAACATTAGTGTCATTTGGGGGAATTATGCCCCATTGTTGGTGTCAGTGTTGTCTCTAATCGGTGGGAGGAATAGTGCCCCAAGGGCCAAGTAAAGGCTAGCGAAGGGCTGTATCTAGCCCTCAGGCCGCAGTTTGGAGACTAGTGTTCTAGACTGATTCACGCTCCAAACCTTTATGTACTAAATGCAATGACAAAATAGCTGTAGAAGTATTGCCTTCTATAATGCAGTAGTTGATGGAGGTTTGCAAGACCAATTCGGCTCTGTAATCTTATGCGGACTATGTCCAGTCTCCTCCTATGGATCTCTCTCCCCAGTCACCTGATAAAGCTTACTCTGAATGGAAAGCGTTTGAAGCTACATGCAAAGAATCTCAGGCAGTATAGGTGAACTGGTGCAGGATGTGGTAAAATAACTTTTTTTTTTTTTTTTTTTTTTTTTTTTTTGTCCCTGAAGAAGCTAAAGAATTAAAGGAGTAAATCTTTTAAGACAATACCACAATAGTATATTTTGTGAACACAGGGTGGTACAAGGAGTCATTGTGGGATTTAAGCCAAAAGATATGTTCTGGGCAGAGGGATATATTTTAGCAGCAGTACATCTGAGA